CAGATAATTTGATTTGAATAAACAGGAAACATGTATTTTCATATTATTAGAAATGGATTCCCATCTAATGTCGATTGTCCATAATTTTAAATTCTTGATAAAACACACCATGGACTTTAAGGAAGAAAATTTGTGAAATCGGATGTTCTTTTGACCTAAGACATTTTAAAACCACGATGTTTTTGTGTATTTTTTTTTTTTACAATGCTTTGATTACTACTGCGACGAAATATTTTAGGTCGTATGATTTTAGATGTCTTCTTTCGTAGGCCAGGGAAGAAATTAGCAATACTATCCAACTTAAATTCTTTTTACGTTATTTTGTCATACCAAACTTGACATTTTAATAGGAATCGTTCATAAAGTGTCTTTTTTCTCATTATTAAATTTGCTAATTCATTTCGTAAGAAAAATAGGGAGACCCAACTTTATGTCAATATATTCAGGCCTTTTAGCCGGAAAGAAATAAAAACAATAGCTGTTTTTTGCTTTACAATAACAGAATAATTTAACTTATAAGCTAAGCTCTTGAAAAATTTACTGGCGGGCATTGATACTTCAAAGAATAGATATTAAATTTGCAACCATTGAAGGCACACGATTGGACATTGGTGACCATTTAAAGTCTCTCGGTACGGCATTGTTATTTGTAGAAAGTAAGATATGAACCAGTCTGTGGAACCAAATGTGCTACCTATGTCACTATTACTAATCCTATGGTGCTTTCAACGAGTTGCAGAACAGATAGCTGAATAGTGGCGACATTGGCGACAACTGCAAGATGTGTGGCGTGCTTAACACGCTTATACCACGCCAATGGCTAACTTAACACGCTCTGAGCAAATTCACCGTCACAGTAGCAGCGTAGTGAGAACGCCTTTCTGGTGTGACGGCCCATTAGAGCTGACAATAACCTCGTAAACAGCTGGAGGAAAATCTTCTATAATTATTATGCAGGAGTTACATTCGCGTTACAAAGTATAGTCCGTCAGATGTTAGTTATCTCCCTTGAAAAGTCTATTCTTGTCGAAGACAGGATAAGTCTGGGTGTCAGAGACGAGTCAGATGTCAAAGATGGAGACGAAAATTAAGCTATTGTTACATAACCTAATATTTGAAAGTAGTCCGATTTATCCGCCAGCTGCGTATGGATTTATGTCAGGCGTAGCGAGAATGGCCAACTCAACATTTAAGCAAATGTGGTCTATGCTATTTTTAAACATCCTTTTTGGGGGGAAGGGGGATGCATGGCTATTTTGGTCTGATTTTTGGTCTAGATTTGCATTTTCTTTAAGATTTTTTTATATGAAGAGGGGTTTACATGCGGAAGTATAATTCTAAAAATAGATTTTTGTGTGCAGTGACAGTCAGGCGTATGTTGATAAAAGGTAGTGGTCTACTTTCAGTTTGATAAGCTCAAGATTATCATGGTCATGATATATTGAATTTTTGTCTAGAAACTAAGTGTTGGCCAGGCTCTCGTGTGCCATATTGGATTCGGTCCAGTTTATTTTCAATTTAAGAATTTTAGATTTCGGGGAAGGGAGGGTTTGATTCTCCCAAATGTACAGGCCTAGGGTGGAGCAGACACTTTATTTAGAAATTAGGATTAAGGGTCTTGATATTGGGTTTTCTTCTGTTCTTATTCTGATCTGAAATTAAAAAATAACTCGCCCGATGGGCGAGAAGTATAGTATCTGTTATGTACTGATTGTTTTTAGTTTACTATGAACAATATTATCACTTAAGTTCTTATTTTTTGAATATGCAACTATCATTTTCTGCTTATAGACATGGGGGAATTTCTCTTGAAGGCTCTTATAGTGGGCATGAACTATCTTGCTTGCTCGATTGCTGGTTGTATTAAACGGGACAACAAAGGGTGCTATGCCTACATTATGATGAATATTTAGTCCTATAGGTCTTGCTGTATTCAATGTCTCAATCCAATGGGCCTCCCTAGATTGACGGAATTTGGTAGTTTCATCTTCGGGCAAGTCAATTTCTATACGCTCAATTGGGATTAGGGTGAGATCGTCTATTGAATGGTCGTCGAGGTTGAAATGAT